CTTCCGCAACGCCTGGCTCCGGATGACCTCCCTCCTCTCGTCCTCGAGCTCCTTCGCCTTCTCGGCTGAGAGGTTTGGTGGTGGCACCCTGCGCTCTTCCTCCTCATCCTCCCCGTAGAGCTTTGAGGGCTTCCTCTCGCCTCTGTAGGCCCTGAGGTCATACAGGTCCCCCGACCTCAGCACTTCCAGCCTGGTGTCTCTGTCTGGGGAGGGTGTCCAGACGTCTCCTCCTCCATCAAGGAAATTCGAGGGTGACTTAGACCTGAATCTCCACTCGTAGCCGTTTTCCACTCTCTGGACGCCGTGTCGAGAGGAGCTGAAGACGTCGTCGTCGCCATCAGCGCCTGAGCTGCCCAGGCAGCCATCGCCGTAGTCGAGCTTGGGAGCAGCCTGCGGGGACTGGAAGACGAGGTGCCTGGTGACTCGGTCCATCTCCAGGAAGAGTCACCATCCACTCTCCGCCACCTTTCCGGGGTTGTTGCCTCAGGCTCCTGCGTCACCGGAGACCTCTGGAGTGAAGGTCGGATCCCACTGGCCCTGCAATAGGAGAAGGAAAGGCGTTGGGGGACGCACAAGGAGAGGCCGGGTCTTCTGAGGGTACCTCTGGGATCTCCTGGAGGTAGCAGGCTCACAGGCAGTGTCCTGCTGTCCCCAAAGCACCAGACAGGATTCACTGGGATGCACCGGGAGCACCAGCCTGGTGGCAGGGTGTGTGGCTGGGAACAGCCAACGTCACTGCCACCCGCTCCTTTCCGGAATTCCCAGTGGCGCCAGGACAGGGAGGAGGCCCGAGGAGCTGGCGCAATCGAAACAGGGGAGACCATAAAGCTGCTTCCCGGCTCGTAAAACGGGGGGGACTTTAACCCGGTGCCGCTGTGAGTGTGGGGAGCGCCCGTGGTGACCTCGACAGCGCGGCCGGGAACTGGGTGTGATAAGGACGGGGCGGCGGGGGCGCCGCCTGCCCGGGCGGGACCGACAGGGAGGAGGCCCGAGGAGCTGGCGCAATCGAAACAGGGGAGACCATAAAGCTGCTTCCCGGCTCGTAAAACGGGGGGGACTTTAACCCGGTGCCGCTGTGAGTGTGGGGAGCGCCCGTGGTGACCTCGACAGCGCGGCCGGGAACTGGGTGTGATAAGGACGGGGCGGCGGGGGCGCCGCCTGCCCGGGCGGGACCGCGGGCAGCACCGGGACCGGGTGGATGGAGCCGGAGGCGGCAGCGCCCCGAGCCCCAGGGCGGCCCCCG